CAGTTAGGGGCGTGTGTGGTAGATTGTGTGAGTCAATGGTTACAGTTAGGGGCGTGTGTGGTAGAGGGAGTGAGTCAATGGTTGCAGTTAGGGGCGTGTGTGGTAGAGGGAGTGAGTCAATGGTTGCAGTTAGGGGCGTGTGTGGTAGATTGTGTGTGTCAATGGTTGCAGTTGGGGCGTGTGTGGTAGATTGTGTGAGTCAATGATTGCAGTTGGGGGCGTGTGTGGTAGATTGTGTGAGTCAATGATTGCAGTTGGGGGCGTGTGTGGTAGAGGGAGTGAGTCAATGGTTACAGTTAGGGGCGTGTGTGGTAGAGGGAGTGAGTCAATGGATACAGTTAGGGGCGTGTGTGGTAGATTGTGTGAGTCAATGGTTGCAGTTGGGGCGTGTGTGGTAGATTGTGTGAGTCAATGGTTACAGTAAGGGGCGTGTGTGGTAGAGGGAGTGAGTCAATGGTTACAGTTAGGGGCGTGTGTGGTAGAGGGAGTGAGTCAATGGATACAGTTAGGGGCGTGTGTGGTAGATTGTGTGAGTCAATGGTTGTGGTTAGGGGCGTGTATGGTAGAGCGTGTGAGTCATTGGTTGCAGTGAGGGGCGTGTGTGGTAGAGCGAGTGAGTCAATGGTTACAGTTAGGGGCGTGTGTGGTAGAGCGTATGAGTCATTGGTTACAGTTAGGGGCGTGTGTGGTAGAGCGTATGAGTCATTGGTTACAGTTAGGGGCGTGTGTGGTAGATTGCGTGTGACAATAGTTGCAGGGAGGGGTAAGTGGTAGATCTTATGAGTCAATGGATGAGCGCGTGGGTCAGTGGTTACAGTTGGAGGCACGTGTTGTAGACCACGTGAGTCAATGGTTGTTGTTAGAGGCAAGGAACCACATCATAGTGGTATGAAGACACACATTCAACCAACGCTGATCAACACGGGCCATTGAGGCGACTTTCGACCAAAGGTTGCTGGGGTCTTCCTACGAGTGAACACGTTGCGTACAGCTCTATTCAATAGGAGCATTTCAGCACACACACAACGGTGGAGTAAATGAGAATAGTCCCTGCATAAACACAAAGCAGACAGGACATAGTTACCGACAGGCTTAGCAACACTGGCGTCTTCGCACAGCGAGAAGGAAAATATGAAGTATCAATTATATCATAAACCTAAATATGGTGACATGACATTTTTATGGGAGGCTCCAGTCTTGTTCTCTTTACATTTCTATGTATGGCAACACAATACAGAGAGAGTTTATTCAGTATTGAAGGCCTCGTGGCAAAGAGTACAAGTTATTTCATATACCATGCGCGTAGGTGTATTACGCATTTTTTAAATACAAAACCAGTGCAAAATGATATTCATCTCCTAATTCTAATAAATCAAAATTATCACAGAACATTAATTCAGGTTTCATAAACTGTCTGCTTTAGCGCAGTTTTTGAACTGTTAAACCATGTGCTGAACACTGAAATTTCGCCCAAACTCTTACAGGATCCTTAGCAATGCATGAGTTCAGTTTCCAGTATTGATTTATATGACGCATAATGGTTCAAGAACGCGAAATTGTTAATCTTTTGACTCCAGTTTTGTACAACAATGTCAATACATCTTCTCTTGAATAATTCCATAAAACAATGTATATGTCAACAGTCCTGCAATATCCACGCATAACCAAAACCAGATTTAAACAAAATCATTTTCACATGAGATGCCCAATTAACACCAGTATTTTATAAATAGCATTCAATCGATTAGAATTCATGCGTATCAATCTTCAGCAATATCTTATTCATCCGCACCAAGAACCGCATTAGATTATGCTTTAAACCATGGCAAAGACAAAGGATGTCTTTGAATGTGGTCTAACCAACTAAATTGTTAGTTAAACACCACTTGGCAATGACGGAACTTCTTTTTTCCCTATATTTGTATTCAATTTCATAAAAAAAAAACGTTTGTCGCCAGCGGTATACGAACCCACGAAGTCTGCACGGGAGGGTAACGATTGTAGTCTTCAGCCACGGCGACATATGAACAATGGTGTGAAATTAACAACTAAATATGTACATCAGGACTTCTGGCTCTCTCTTAAATGCGAAATATGTTTAATGCAATTTTTATAAAGTATGTTATTCTATGCATTTTAGTTTTTGTACAGTACTTGTGATTTGGTAGAGAAACTACTTTTATCTTGATCAGGGCCATGTTTGATCATAATAGGCCAATGAACATGGGCAAATAATATTAAGGTGAATGATAAAAGTGCTTGAGTTGGTCCAAAATGAATGGTATACTTGCCCCGGGATACGCATGTCAAAACCCAAATCGGTAAAGTGCGAGAGGTGCACGTGCGAAAGGCTCGGGGAACATTTGTTCATGTACAGAGTATAGGTATATAGTCAGCCCTGCCATTTTCATCAACCTTCTAAAACTAACTTACTTATGATGCCAATCACTGGATTGTCGGGTCCAAACTCGAAACTCGCCGTCATATAGCTTGAATATTGGTGAGTGCGGCGTTAAATAACAAGCAAACGTTTACATTTCCGTGACCTTCGTTCGGACGCCTCCAGACACTTCCACAGCTACACAAAGTCCAGAGTGAACAGTTCACCCGAGTTCATCGTCGATTTCCCCAATGTGTTTCGTTCTCACCGCCATCGACGTCTGGCTAGAATGTGTCGATTTGTAAATGGTGCTACAACACAAGGTCTCGAGCATGCAGATCAACTGTCAGTGCCTTGAATTCAGTGGTCTGGTGAGAGTGAACAGCAATTTGATTCGCGGTTTCCACTCGATTTCTGATTAATCGACTCTGAACTTGTGTTGTGTCTCGTGAGACATACTGGTCACCTCTCGCTGAGATCTTCAGTGTACCGCACGTCAATAGCCCTTTTGAGTTTATCAGGTTGTAGACAGCACATTCCCTGTCTGGCACTACATGCACATTAATTCACGAATAGAGAGCTTACAAAATGCGCATGTTTCTGTGCAGAATGCGAATCAGCACTACTCCTGGATCCTAGAGATTCAACACTAGTCCTGGATCCTAGCGATTCAACACTACTCCTGGATCAGAGCGATTCAACACTACTCCTGGAACAGAGCGATTCAACAATACTCCTGGAACAGAGAGAACCAAACTACTCCTGGATCAGAGCGACTCAACACTACTCCTGAATCAGAGCGATTCAACACTACTCCTGGAACAGAGCGATTCAACACTACTCCTGGATCACAGTGATTCAACACTACTCCTTGATCAGAGCGATTCAACAATACTCTTTGATCAAATGATTCATCACTACCCCTGGATCAGAGCGATTCAACAATACTCCTGGATCAGACCGATTCAACACTTCTCCTGGATCAGAGCGATTCAACACTACTCCTTGATCAGAACGATTCAACAATACTCTTTGATCAAATGATTCATCACTACCCCTGGAGCAGAGCGATTCAACAATACTCCTGGATCAGACCGATTCAACAGTTCTCCTGGATCAGAGCGATTCCATACTACTCCTGAACAGAGCGATTCAACACTACTCCTGGATCACAGTGATTCAACACTACTCCTTGATCAGAGCGATTCAACAATACTCTTTGATCAGAGCGATTCAACAATACTCCTGGATCAGAGCGATTCAACACTACACTGGATCAGAGAGATTTAGCAATACCCCTAGATCAGATGGGATCAACAATACTCCTGGATCAGAGCGACTCAACACTACTCCTGGATCAGAGCGATTCAACACTACTCTTTGATCAGAGCGATTCAGCACTACTCCTGGATCAGAGCGACTCAACACTACTCCTGGATCAGAGCGATTCAACACTACTCCTGGATCAGAGCGATTCAATACTACTCCTGAACAGAGCGATTCAACACTACTCCTGGATCAGAGCGATTCATCACTACCCCTGGATCAGGGCGATTCAACACTACACTGGATCAGAGAGATTTAGCAATACCCCTAGATCAGATGGGATCAACAATACTCCTGGATCAGAGCGATTCAACAATACTTCTGGATCAGATAGGATCAACAATACTCCTGGATCAGATAGGATTAACAATACCCCTGGATCAGATGGGATCAACAATACTCCTTGATCAGAGCAATTCAACAATACTTCTGGATCAGGGCGATTCAACACTACTCCTGGATTAGATGGGATTAACACTAGTCCTGGGTCAGAGCGATATATCTGAAAATTAAAACTGACTCCTACCCACGTGCACGGATGAATTGCGTGATCTAAGTGCAATGGTTCGCATGTGTTGAGTGTTATATTGTTGCTCTGTTTTTTTCAAGATTGATGTTTCTCCTGACGATCGATCTTGACATTTATATTTCATGATGCCCTACGCTTTATGTTTAGCTACATCAGCTCCTGTTCTCGTATTGGTAGTTTTGTGTTTGTGTGCATGTGTCAATGTCCCAACCCTTTCTCCCACTGTTCACGGACCTCCTCCGTGGTCTAGTGGTAGAGCGTCCGCCCGGAGAGTGGAAGGCCGGGGTTCGAATCCCGCCGCGTCATACCAAAATACGTTAAACTATGGTACTTGTTGTTACCCTGTCTGGCGCTCGGCATTAAGGGGCTAAAATAAGGACTGGTCGGCTCGGAGTCAGTATACTGTGTCTGAGTGGGGTATTCATGTTAAACTGCGGCATGGTATCTCAGTGAGCTAGCACTATAAATCGGCATCAGTCCGGACTAATACAAGCAGCCACACAAACACACACACGTACATGCACGTCGCTATATGAGTGCAATAATCTTTGACGTGACGTTAAACCCCATTTCACCTCACCTCACCTGTCCACGCAATGAGGTTGTAAAACACATGATTAAATAGGAAGCAGACAACACAACACTATTTCCTTGTTTGTTGCTCAACATCACACTTAGAAACTTAGATTAAGATAAAACGTATTCCAATAGCTGACGTCATGATCTTTTATACAATCCAGACTAACTACCCAGTCTATTATTTCGCTTGCGACATGCGCAGGCCTCGGTTGACCTACATAGCTATGCACCTAATGCATTAACAACACAAAGCAGTGACACACACGTGCAGATATCGGATCATTAACCGAGAGAGACGGAGATCCACATCGGGATTAACAATGTAGTCTTGACTGTAGCAGTAGTTTCTGCGTTGTACGGTAAGTGACCAGTGTAATGTACCAGATTGCCTCATGTTCTGTCTTTGTATTGATGTTCTCGGTGCATGCGCAGGCGCCAGCGGCTTGGTATGTACTCACTGGCAGCCGCCATGCTGTTCACTGATGCTGTCCTCATACCCACAGTGGTGAAGGCGAGTGACGCACTCCGCACATACACATATTCCTTTTCTATTGTTCATAGTTACGCTGACGCTACATATACATGTAGTTACTAGAGTCGCCATGTTGTTCACTGATGTTCTCCTCATACCCCCAGTGGTGAAGGCGAGTGACGCACTCCGCACATACACATATACCTGTTCTATTGTTCATAGACACGCTGACGCTACATAAACAGCTACTAGAGTCGCCATGCTGTTCACTGATGCTGTCCTCATACCCAAGTGATATAGGAGAACATAACACGTGTCAGACTGCTGTGGTTAAAGTGTGGGGCTTTCCCCAACGCTGGGGGTATATTTTTCGCGAGGCATCATACAGCGATACTTTCCTCAAAGGAACTGTACCATCGAAATAGTAGATTAAAGCATTTAATAAGCATATGATAGAAAGTATATTGATAAAAAAATACATTTCTGAATGCCATATCATTAATAAAGCAGTGTTAAAAATCTACTCGTATTTCGGAAATTAACGAGATTTGATCACATCAATATCTATCTCAGATTAAGGCTTTTTTTATCGAGTGGTATGACGCTTTGCAAGGGACGCGACTCTTTCCAATTGATTATTTGCGTGCAGTGCTACTGTCATGGTAACACACAACGAAATTATTTCCCACAGATTTCAAAAAGTAACGTTATATATATTTATTTCAAAATTAAAAAAAAACATTCAACAGCTATTACATGTCCATGAGTGCACAGTTTAGCTAAACACATCACCCACAGTTCCGAACCAAATGTCACCTGCTTGAAATATCTGTGGTCACATCAGCATAAGTCATCATGTTGAAAAAGACAGAACTAAATATGGAAAAAAAACATGGTCAGTTTTAATAACTGGATGGATGTACATTTAAGAAACATAAAATCTTACACAATATCTGCATACAATTTTCTCTCACACTTTGCGAACACGTTCTTTATCAATAGGAGTGGTGCAGTGCAAAGTTTCATTTCAATATTTGGGTTTCTGAAAAAATACAGCAATTTTTAAACTTTATTTGGACAATTTTTACTTATTTCGATAAATGAATTTTCAGAGAAAATATTGCCTTTTTTCATGTTTTGAACTTATTTGTATACTTTCGACCTGAAAGGAAATCCGGCGACAAACTCATGTCAGGTCAAGTGTACTGTATCCGGCTAAGCTTGCCGCTGATGCACCACTGCATCTTTGAATCATGCCATTGCTGTGTTATATCATTGTGCTTTGTAAGAAAAGTCAGCTGACACGTTAAGACATCAATATATCTCCAATATGTAGAATGTTCCCCAGCAGATGTTGGAGTGGAGGTCGGGGATATTAGTGAGCCCTGCTCACTTTCTGCCTTACTTTGTTTTTCCAACCCTATTTCCCTTACATATAAACACTGTAGTATGTAGTTATGTAAGTAGCATCAACCAAACATAGAAGACGGGTATCTGTGAATATGCCAGCTATAGAAGAAAACCTACAGTAATGTAAAATAACCTTTCATAAAAATAGTGTTTTTACTTCGACTCTGGTGTGACATTGAGCATGGTTTGCTTTATTTTATAGTTTTTCATTTGTTTATTTAATATTGTTTAAGAATGACCTGTCAAAAGCGTAAATAGTTCAACATAATTGTATTAAACTTATTGTTGGGGGTGGGGGGGGATTTCCAACAGGCTTTTTTCAAGGCATTATAAGTAGTCTGTACACAAGGATGTTTACTTCACATGATAATGTGTAGGATGGCCAGTTAGTGGCGAACATATTCAAAATAATTATTTTATAATTCCAGGGTTAGGGGCGATGATTTTCCAACACCCCATAAAAGGCAATCTGGAGTTGTCCAATGCCAACGTTCGTCTCCCGTTTAATTGATATTGAAGTACGCAAGCATGTTTCTTTACTGTAATAATGTGTTCAGTGACCCATTCAAAACAATAATGATATTATTCCAATTATAGGGGAAACGGCTATGGTTTACGAACACCGTATATATACAAGGAAATGTGAACAGTCTGTAGTTGTCCCTTTCCCAGATCAATTTTCGCTCCCCGTGTAAAATTATATGAAAAATACGCAAGGTTTTTTTCCCGATAATAATGCATAATAGTGCCATGCCCGTAGACTGATTAAAATAAATGATTTTAGAAAAACGTTAGGCTATTTCCTTTATATCAAAATGAGTGACCTTTTGTATTCTACCAATTGCGATGGTTCGTCACCACTCACCCCTTTCCGTGACTTGCAAGAAGACTCGTCGCCCTGGCCTATCATGGAATCCCTCATGAATACTATTTTGTTTTACACATGTCTTGCATCGAAACCTATACCCAATATACTGTTAAATATGTTCAATCATACTGTGTAATACTGCGTGTCCTGGTGTGTTTTAAATTGCATCTGAAATAATATAATATATTTAGAAAAGTACGTGAATCATCACACAACGAGTTGACAATTCTTTAGCCCGTTTGCTCTTTTAGGGAACCAGGTCGCACAAATAGCCACGAGAGTGGGGCGAGTCGCTATTCGGCTTGTTCCGGAATAACACCAGTAGGTCACGAACGGCGACCACGAGAGTTGTCATCATGTGACCTAACGTCACAATGGAGAGCTCCCTTGCAGACTGCTACTCTGTTGTGTTCTCCAGACATCCATGAAAATGTTAAGTTTCGCTCAGTGACCAGACAGCGATCGTGCATATAAATATGAGCCTGTGGTTAGTCAAAAGAGTCTTAACATCAGGGAGGTAGATCTATTGAGTGAACGCGATCAATCAGATGTCAACACATTGTTTTCACAGTTCCATATATCTGTAAACCATTCCAAATGCAAAAACACATACATTTTTATTTAATTTAATAAATTACTGGCAACCACATCCTTATTTATACCAGTTTAACTTTTTTCAATACAAACATGTCGTAATACGATGTGTGTGGTTGCGAATATTGACCTTTTCTATCTTAATTTCAAAACGGGAAAATAATTTCAGGACTCTCGAGACTTGTGAACCAACGATTTCCTTACAAACGTAGAAAAGTACATCCGGCATGTGTTGTGAAAAAAATCACTGAGGCCAACGGAATAAAACACATACAAACGTTTCACGCTTGCAAATCCATGAACAGAGTATGTCGGTTTCTGCGCATCCAGCCTGCCAAATATATCGCCTCAACATGTAACCTGGTCAAATTGTATGGTGCTTAGTAACTGTTGTACAATGGTAATGAGTCATGGGTTTGATTTTACAAGGAATGCAATGAATGCGTGAATGCTAAATTTGTTTTTGTAGCCATTTTCGTTCCGTCGGTCTGGATCTCTCACAGACAGGTGCCTGGAATAGCAAGGAACACCAAACGGATTCCATTCTTCTGTCCATGCTGACATAGACTTATCAAAACTTCCCCCCTCGCTACAACTGAGTGTTCGCTGCAGGCCTTTAACACATAGAGTTGCCTCCCTTGTAGCAGCTATTACTGTTAACACAGACAATATATACAGCTGATTGCATTATTTAGCTTAAAGGGAATAACTGCAAAAATGAACGCAATCTTAAAATAAATATTCAAATTGGTTGTAAGCAAGCTGATTAAAAATATTAGATTAATATTACACGTGAATCTATGTCATTAACAAGTGTGAACATAATAAACAAATGTTACAGGCATAAATCATGGTTACGGAGCATTCGCTTAATTAATGCTAATAACTGCTCCCCTAAACGTTATCTCCCAAACAAATATCATGTTTTATTATTTTTTTTAAATGCTTATTGTTTCGGAAAATTTAAACAATATTTAATGACTATTCACATCGTCGGGAATTATATCTTTATCCCATATCAACTGACGTAAGTGTTAGAGTATTTCGAAAAAAGATCAAAGAGTACATTGATATAAAATAACTTAGTTCCATCTAATTAATCGCCGACACTGGAGCAGAAGCTGAAAGCACTCCCAAAGAAAGTTATAGAGAAAATTTAACACCTATGTGCCTTTCATGTGAAACCGATACAGGGCATGTATGATCCCGCACATACACTCTCACTCTCATTTACAAAATATGATAACTTCATATGATAGAGTAAAATATAGGTGAAGAATACTGACTTTACTTAATTTAGCTGCAGTCACATCTAGATCGGTGTTAGTATAGTCACATCGGTGTGGTGTCCTGTAGCAGTATGTAGTATTTAACTTGGTGATTTAATACAGCAGGTGCCTGCTTTATTATTTGACATGTTGAATCATACATTTTGGTTCGACTTGGGAGGAATAAATTATGCAAAAGAATCCCAGCTAAATATGATAACTATTTATTTTTATTTGCAGGCACTACAACATGGATGCCTCTCGAGCCGTGCTTGTCCTCTACCAAACTCTGCTGATAGTCAGTGAGTACTGAAATGATACAAGGCTGTTTGAGCATTTAGGGTTGTATAGGATGTTGTGACCCTGTTCATAACCTAGCGCTCTTATATGTTGACACCACTATGCCACGTTCTTCGTCGCCACCTGACCGCCTCCGTGGTCTTGTGGTAGAGCGTCCGCCCGGAGAGCAGAAGGTTCGGGTGTCGATCCCCGGCCGCGTCATACCAAAATACGTTAAAATATGGTACTTGTTGATACCCTGTCTGGCGCTCGGTATAAAGGTGATAAAACAAGGACTGGTTGGCTCGGCATGGTATCTCAGTGAACTAGCACTGTAAATCGGCATTAAATAAGTCCGGACCAGTACACGCACGCACACACGCACACAAGCACGCACGCACGCACGCACTAACACACACACGTACACACACACACGTACATGTTCACGTGCATGCGCGTCACTTTATAAGCACAATAATCTTGGACGCTAGACCCCATTTCACCCCACCTCACCTCTTCGACACCACCATGCAAATATCGAATACACAGTCGCTCATGCCGCCACTTGCTGCTTGTTTCTGTGCCTTTGGCAAAAATTAGTTTTAATGTCATTAACAATTCGCAAAGGGTTCTGTTTGTGAGGCTATTGCGTGTGTGTGTGTGTGTGTGTGTGTGTGTGTGTGTGTGTGTGTGTGTGTGTGTGTGTGTGTGTGTGTGTGTGTGTGTTTGTGTGTGTATCTGTGTATGTTTGTATATGCGAGTGTGTTTATGTTTGTGCGTGCATATGGGTGCATATTTGTATATGTCTCTATTTATGTATGTCTGTATATATGCATGTATGCATGTTTGTGTATGTTTGTGTATATATGTGTTTATGTCTATGTATGTGCGAGTGTGTATGTTTGTATGTGTGTATATATGCGCGCGCGCGCGTGCGTGCGTGCGTGCGTGCGTGTGTGTGTGTTCATGTACGTGCGTTTATATGTGTGTCGATCATTGCACTAGTCAGAACTAATGCTGGTGTCATAGATGTCATATAACAATTTAACATGGACACACCAATCAGACACTGCCTCTGAGTCGACAAGACCTTGTTTCAATTTATCATCTTAATGCTAAGCGCCAGACAGAGTAACAACATGTACCACAGACTAACACCATCTGTCCATATAAATACAACACACCAGACCTTGTTTTATCATCTTAATGCTAAGCGCCAGGCAGAGTCACAACATGTACCACAGACTAACACCATCTGTCCATATAAATACAACACACCAGACCTTGTTTTATCATCTTAATGCTAAGCGCCAGGCAGAGTCACAACATGTACCACAGACTAACACCATCTGTCCATATAAATACAACACACCAGACCTTGTTTTATCATCTTAATGCTAAGCGCCAGGCAGAGTCACAACATGTACCACAGACTAACACCTCTGTCTATATAATACAACACACCAGACCTTGTTTTATCATCTTAATGCTAAGCGCCCATCAGAGTGACAACATGAACCACAGACTAACACCATCTGTCCATATAAATACAACACACCAGACCTTGTTTTATCATCTTAATGCTAAGTGCCAGACAGAGTGACAACATGTACCACAGACTAACACCTCTGTCCATATAAATACAACACACCATACCTTGTTTTATCATCTTAATGCTAAGTGCCAGACAGAGTGACAACATGTACCACAGACTAACACCTCTGTCCATATAAATACAACACACCAGACCTTGTTTTATCATCTTAATGCTAAGCGCCCATCAGAGTAACAACATGAACCACAGACTTACACCTTTGTCCATATAAATACAACACACCAGACCTTGTTTTATCATCTTAATGCTAAGCACAAGGCAGAGTAACAACATGAACCACAGACTAACACCATCTGTCCATATAAATACAACACACCAGACCTTGTTTTATCATCTTAATGCTAAGCATCAGGCAGAGTAACAACATGAACCACAGACTAACACCTCTGTCCATATAAATACAACACACCAGACCTTGTTTTATCATCTTAATGCTAAGCGCCCATCAGAGTAACAACATGAACCACAGACTTACACCTTTGTCCATATAAATACAACACACCAGACCTTGTTTTATCATCTTAATGCTAAGCACAAGGCAGAGTAACAACATGAACCACAGACTAACACCATCTGTCCATATAAATACAACACACGAGACCTTGTTTTATCATCTTAATGCTAAGCATCAGGCAGAGTAACAACATGTACCACAGACTAACACCATCTGTCCATATAAATACAACACACCAGACCTTGTTTTATCATCTTAATGCTAAGCGCCAGGCAGAGTCACAACATGTACCACAGACTAACACCTCTGTCTATATAATACAACACACCAGACCTTGTTTTATCATCTTAATGCTAAGCGCCCATCAGAGTGACAACATGAACCACAGACTAACACCTTCTGTCCATATAAATACAACACACCAGACCTTGTTTTATCATCTTAATGCTAAGTGCCAGACAGAGTGACAACATGTACCACAGACTAACACCTCTGTCCATATAAATACAACACACCAGACCTTCTTTTATCATCTTAATGCTAAGTGCCAGGCTGAGTTACAACATGTACCACAGACTAACACCTCTGTCCATATAAATACAATACACCAGACCTTGTTTTATCATCTTAATGCTAAGTGCCAGGCAGAGTAACAACATGTACCACAGACTATCACCTCTGTCCATATAAATACAACACACCAGACCTTGTTTTATCATCTTAATGCTAAGCGCCAGGCAGAGTCACAACATGAACCACAGACTAACACCATCTGTCCATATAAATACAACACACCAGACCTTGTTTTATCATCTTAATACTAAGCGCCACGCAGAGTAACAACATGTACCACATACTAACACCTCTGTGTATATAAATACAACACACCATACCTTGTTTTATCATCTTAATGCTAAGTGCCCATCAGAGTGACAACATGAACCACAGACTAACACCATCTGTCAACATAAATACAACACACCATACCTTGTTTTATCATCTTAATGCTAAGTGCCAGCCAGAGTAACAACATGTACCACAGACTAACACCTCTGTCCATATAAATACAACACACCAGACCTTGTTTTATCATCTTAATGCTAAGCACAAGGCAGAGTAACAACATGTACCACAGACTAACAACTCTGTCCATATAAATACAACACACCAGACCTTGTTTTATCATCTTAATGCTAAGCGCCCATCAGAGTGACAACATGAACCACAGACTAACACCATCTGTCCATATAAATACAACACACCATACCTTGTTTTATCATCTTAATGCTAAGTGCCAGCCAGAGTAACAACATGTACCACAGACTAACACCTCTGTCCATATAAATACAACACACCAGACCTTGTTTTATCATCTTAATGCTAAGTGCCCATCAGAGTAACAACATGAACCACAGACTTACACCTTTGTCCATATAAATACAACACACCAGACCTTGTTTTATCATCTTAATGCTAAGCGCCAGACAGAGTGACAACATGTACCACAGACTAACACCTCTGTCCATATAAATACAACACATCAGACCTTGTTTTATCATCTTAATGCTAAGCATCAGGCAGAGTAACAACATGAACCACAGACTAACACCCCTGTCCATATAAATACAACACACCAGACCTTGTTTTATCATCTTAATGCTAAGCATCAGGCAGAGTAACAACATGAACCACAGACTAACACCTCTGTCCATATAAATACAACACACCAGACCTTGTTTTATCATCTTAATGCTAAGCGCCCATCAGAGTAACAACATGAACCACAGACTTACACCTTTGTCCATATAAATACAACACACCAGACCTTGTTTTATCATCTTAATGCTAAGCACAAGGCAGAGTAACAACATGAACCACAGACTAACACCATCTGTCCATATAAATACAACACACCAGACCTTGTTTTATCATCTTAATGCTAAGCATCAGGCAGAGTAACAACATGTACCACAGACTAACACCATCTGTCCATATAAATACAACACACCAGACCTTGTTTTATCATCTTAATGCTAAGCGCCAGGCAGAGTCACAACATGTACCACAGACTAACACCTCTGTCTATATAATACAACACACCAGACCTTGTTTTATCATCTTAATGCTAAGCGCCCATCAGAGTGACAACATGAACCACAGACTAACACCTTCTGTCCATATAAATACAACACACCAGACCTTGTTTTATCATCTTAATGCTAAGTGCCAGACAGAGTGACAACATGTACCACAGACTAACACCTCTGTCCATATAAATACAACACACCAGACCTTCTTTTATCATCTTAATGCTAAGTGCCAGGCTGAGTTACAACATGTACCACAGACTAACACCTCTGTCCATATAAATACAATACACCAGACCTTGTTTTATCATCTTAATGCTAAGTGCCAGGCAGAGTAACAACATGTACCACAGACTATCACCTCTGTCCATATAAATACAACACACCAGACCTTGTTTTATCATCTTAATGCTAAGCGCCAGGCAGAGTCACAACATGAACCACAGACTAACACCATCTGTCCATATAAATACAACACACCAGACCTTGTTTTATCATCTTAATACTAAGCGCCACGCAGAGTAACAACATGTACCACAGACTAACACCTCTGTGTATATAAATACAACACACCATACCTTGTTTTATCATCTTAATGCTAAGTGCCCATCAGAGTGACAACATGAACCACAGACTAACACCATCTGTCAACATAAATACAACACACCATACCTTGTTTTATCATCTTAATGCTAAGTGCCAGCCAGAGTAACAACATGTACCACAGACTAACACCTCTGTCCATATAAATACAACACACCAGACCTTGTTTTATCATCTTAATGCTAAGCACAAGGCAGAGTAACAACATGTACCACAGACTAACAACTCTGTCCATATAAATACAACACACCAGACCTTGTTTTATCATCTTAATGCTAAGCGCCCATCAGAGTGACAACATGAACCACAGACTAACACCATCTGTCCATATAAATACAACACACCATACCTTGTTTTATCATCTTAATGCTAAGTGCCAGCCAGAGTAACAACATGTACCACAGACTAACACCTCTGTCCATATAAATACAACACACCAGACCTTGTTTTATCATCTTAATGCTAAGTGCCCATCAGAGTAACAACATGAACCACAGACTTACACCTTTGTCCATATAAATACAACACACCAGACCTTGTTTTATCATCTTAATGCTAAGCGCCAGACAGAGTGACAACATGTACCACAGACTAACACCTCTGTCCATATAAATACAACACATCAGACCTTGTTTTATCATCTTAATGCTAAGCATCAGGCAGAGTAACAACATGAACCACAGACTAACACCCCTGTCCATATAAATACAACACACCAGACCTTGTTTTATCATCTTAATGCTAAGCATCAGGCAGAGTAACAACATGTACCACAGACTAACACCATCTGTCCATATAAATACAACACACCAGACCTTGTTTTATCATCTTAATGCTAAGCGCCAGGCAGAGTCACAACATGTACCACAGACTAACACCTCTGTCTATATAATACAACACACCAGACCTTGTTTTATCATCTTAATGCTAAGCGCCCATCAGAGTGACAACATGAACCACAGACTAACACCTTCTGTCCATATAAATACAACACACCAGACCTTGTTTTATCATCTTAATGCTAAGTGCCAGACAGAGTGACAACATGTACCACAGACTAACACCTCTGTCCATATAAATACAACACACCAGACCTTCTTTTATCATCTTAATGCTAAGTGCCAGGCTGAGTTACAACATGTACCACAGACTAACACCTCTGTCCATATAAATACAATACACCAGACCTTGTTTTATCATCTTAATGCTAAGTGCCAGGCAGAGTAACAACATGTACCACAGACTAACACCTCTGTCCATATAAATACAACACACCAGACCTTGTTTTATCATCTTAATACTAAGCGCCACGCAGAGTAACAACATGTACCACAGACTAACACCTCTGTGTATATAAATACAACACACCATACCTTGTTTTATCATCTTAATGCTAAGTGCCCATCAGAGTGACAACATGAACCACAGACTAACACCATCTGTCAACATAAATACAACACACCATACCTTGTTTTATCATCTTAATGCTAAGTGCCAGCCAGAGTAACAACATGTACCACAGACTAACACCTCTGTCCATATAAATACAACACACCAGACCTTGTTTTATCATCTTAATGCTAAGCACAAGGCAGAGTAACAACATGTACCACAGACTAACAACTCTGTCCATATAAATACAACACACCAGACCTTGTTTTATCATCTTAATGCTAAGCGCCCATCAGAGTGACAACATGAACCACAGACTAACACCATCTGTCCATATAAATACAACACACCATACCTTGTTTTATCATCTTAATGCTAAGTGCCAGCCAGAGTAACAACATGTACCACAGACTAACACCTCTGTCCATATAAATACAACACACCAGACCTTGTTTTATCATCTTAATGCTAAGTGCCCATCAGAGTAACAACATGAACCACAGACTTACACCTTTGTCCATATAAATACAACACACCAGACCTTGTTTTATCATCTTAATGCTAAGTGCCCATCAGAGTGACAACATGAACCACAGACTAACACCATCTGTCAACATAAATACAACACACCATACCTTGTTTTATCATCTTAATGCTAAGTGCCAGCCAGAGTAACAACATGTACCACAGACTAACACCTCTGTCCATATAAATACAACACACCAGACCTTGTTTTATCATCTTAATGCTAAGCACAAGGCAGAGTAACAACATGTACCACAGACTAACAACTCTGTCCATATAAATACAACACACCAGACCTTGTTTTATCATCTTAATGCTAAGCGCCCATCAGAGTGACAACATGAACCACAGACTAACACCATCTGTCCATATAAATACAACACACCATACCTTGTTTTATCATCTTAATGCTAAGTGCCAGCCAGAGTAACAACATGTACCACAGACTAACACCTCTGTCCATATAAATACAACACACCAGACCTTGTTTTATCATCTTAATGCTAAGTGCCCATCAGAGTAACAACATGAACCACAGACTTACACCTTTGTCCATATAAATACAACACACCAGACCTTGTTGTATCATCTTAATGCTAAGTGCCAGGCAGAGTTACAACATGTACCACATACTTACACCTCTGTCCATATAAATACAACACACCAGACCTTGTTGTATCATCTTAATGCTAAGTGCCAGGCAGAGTTACAACATGAACCACATACTGACACCTCTGTCCATATAAATACAACACACCAGACCTTGTTTTATCATCTTAATGCTAAGCACCAGGCAGAGTAACAACATGTACCACAGACTAACACCTCTGTCCATATAAATACAACACACCAGACCTTGTTTTATCATCTTAATGCTAAGCACCAGACAGAGTAACAACATGTACCACAGACTAACACCTCTGTCCATATAAATACAACACACCAGACCTTGTTTTATCATCTTAATGCTAAGCACCAGACAGAGTAACAACATGAACCACAGACTAACACCATCTGTCTATATAAATACAACACACCAGACCTTGTTTTATCATCTTAATGCTAAGTGCCAGGCAGAGTAACAACATGTACCACAGACTGACACCTCTGTCCATATAAATACAACACACCAGACCTTGTTTTATCATCTTAATGCTAAGTGCCAGACAGAGTAACAACATGAACCACAGACTAACACCATCTGTCTATATAAATACAACACACCAGACCTTGTTTTATCATCTTAATGCTAAGTGCCAGACAGAGTAACAACATGAACCACAGACTAACACCTCTGTCCATATAAATACAACACACCATACCTTGTTTTATCATCTTAATGCTAAGTGCCAGACAGAGTAACAACATGTACCACAGACTAACACCTCTGTCCATATAAATATAACACACCAGACCTTGTTTTATCATCTTAATGCTAAGTGCCAGGCAGGGTAACAACATGAACCCCAGACTAACACCTCTGTCCATATAAATACAACACACCAGACCTTGTTTTATCATCTTAATGCTAAGCGCCAGACAGAGTAACAACATGTACCACAGACTGACACCTCTGTCCATATAGAAAGGGAGCAGTCATTGCTTTCAATTGTGCACTTTTTTCTCCAATAGCAAATCATAACGTTTACTTTACAATAAACACATAACTAAATGAAGAAAAAAGTAATGTTATGCTTTTAATACGTTTTGACCTGACCATAACCCTGCTTTGACAATTTATATTTTTTTGATTGAAGGAACAGTACAAGAAGCATCACAAACATTTACGTTTTAAGTAAAATACAAATTCATGGTAAATAATGATTCATGTTTATGTAGTTGTTGTGCTCCTTCTAAATAATTGGGGGAGGGTGGGGGTGGGCAGTCGTCTAAGGCGCCGCGAGTTGCGTCCCTTGAGCACGCCAGAAACCTATGATTCACCCCAAGTATGTTTCAAGGCTTGTGAGCACCATACCCGTGCTCATCGGTTTCACCGAAGTGGTAAACGTCTGAGACCTACATTACTTCGGTCTTTCTTCCCACATTAAGCTGACAAGCCGCTATATAATTGGAATACTGTTACAAACGACGTTAAACCAAACTCACTAACTCTAAACAATGGAAACACCTCCTAAGACATGTTCATGCCTGATTATATATTCCAAGCTTTCCGTTGATAACAAATATATCCTGATATACCTCCGGGAGACCTTTTTCCAAATGTTGACTCCAGACACCACTGCTCTATTGCATACACTTCATAACTATAACGTGATTGTCAATGTGGTCTGACCCTCATATTTCTATTTCAACTTTTCACTACTTACAGCACACGGTCAAGAGAGCTGCATTTGGGGAAAATATGGAGAAAACTGCAGCAAAGACTGCCCTTCCAACTGTATCGCCAATCCAGGGAGAAACATCAGGCACTGCCACAAAGAGACAGGGAGGTGCTCGGAGGGGTGTGTGCCGGGGTGGTTTGAGGATCTCTGTGATCACGCCTGTAGCAAGAACTGCCTGAGAAACATCTGTAATCGGCAAAATGGAATCTGCACGTTTGGTTGTAGTGGAGACTATACAGGCGACTATTGTAACATTGGACAAGGTTTGATTTTCAATTGATTCAGTTCTGTTAAGATTGATGTTGATCTAGATTTACTTTATTTGCGTCGTAATATTGTTCTGATCCAATAAGCAAAATACTTCATTCAGTATGTTTAAGTAGTGTATTTAATAAATTGTATTTACCCTGCACAGTGCCCTGCAATTCTGAGCCAAATCAAATTATACTGGACATAAATATAATAGGATGCCAAGTGTTTGTTGCTGCACATGGCATATTTCAACTATACATTCTGGAGTTGTTTATTGCCTTTCGTTTTTGCCTCAGTATGATTTCTGATATATGCATGATATGCGACCCACCAGGAGAAGGGACCTTATCGGACCTTTGGTACAACTGTGCTTTGACGTCATAAAGACGTTTGACGTCAACGTTCTTGAGTGAGGTCGGACTGTACCAAAATATCTCACTCTCGATAGTTCGTAATGTAATAGAAAACATTATTTCAAAACATTTCAGCATACAGGTCTACTTTCAGTTCATCAGACACTAAGTCTTAAAACTGCAATTATTACATAAACAGTTATAAATCGGAAACTGAGTTCAATTGTTTGATGTCATGTTTCTCTGTCATAAATATTAATTGAAGATAATGATTTTTTTTATGTGTGTGTGCTGAAGATACTGTAGTTTTAAACTGTAATGGAAAGTGAAAATGTGATCTTTCATTCATAGGATCCCTAATCTCCTGGTGGGCCACATATATTGCTCATGGTTTTACATATTGTCAGATATTGGAAAAAAAAAATGTCATGTCTGTTCTCGTCCCTGTGAGACAGCAATACTACTCTTATGACGTAAGATATCCACTCACGCACACCACACACACACCCATATATATATATATATATATATATATATATATATATATGTGTGTGTGTGTGTGTGTGCGTGCGTGCGTGCGTGCGTGCGTGCGTGCGTGCGTGCGTGTATATGTATGTATATATATGAGCGTTTAGGTATAGAGCATGTTGCATATGTATTTGCCCTTAAAATGGTCATTGTTGCCTTTAAAAGTTTGTTTGTTGTTTGTTGTTTAACTCCGATAAGTAAATAATCTAGTCTGGACCAGACAATATAGTGATTGACATCATCAGCATCAATCCACCCAATTGGGATACGATGACATGCAGCAACCAAGTCAGCGAGCCTGACCAGCCAATCCCGTAAGTCGCCTCTCATGACAAGCATAGTCGCCTTATACGACAAGCATGGGTTGCTGAAGACCTGCACACTACTTGGATCTTCACGTGTCTGTGCAAAGCAACGTTGTGATTTTGAAAAAAAGCACTTATATAAAAATCTAAACTATTGTTCGTTACATTGTAGATGTGTATTATTATTCTTGTTTTTAAAAACATATTTTAGTAGACGCATCTCCGAAAGGTCCTATTGACTCAACCACGAACGGTCCTGTCGACACCACCACAACACAACCCACGAATCTTGCTGCGATTCTTGTCCCTGTGTTCATCGTCATCATCGTTGTCGCTATCATCCTTGCTGTGGTGTTGCTCAAACTGTAAGTGTATGTTTTACTCAACACGGGTATGATTCAGAGTGTCACTGTTGAATGAAATGAAACAAAACTCATCCTTGCTGACATTTTCCGCAGTCTGCAGTATTAATAGGGTGTAAGGCGTCGTGCATGTTGCATTAAGTGGGAAATATTTTAAATATACATATGTGACCCGCCAGGTAAGGAAGGATATAATTGTGCTTTGACGTCAACTTACTTCCGTACACCAAGTCTCAGGACTGTACAGACATATATTAAGTTTGTCTTGTTCGTTAGAGATGTAATAAAAACATTATTTCAAAATACTTCAGAATTCGAATATTCAGTCGTTGTATCTAAATGATAACAACAGTAAGTTTTTCAAGACTAAAAATGGGATTTTGCCAAAAATCAGTCCAAATGTTTGATGTCATGCATCTCTACAATAGATGTTTGATGCCATGTATCTCTGCAATACATATGTTTGATGACATGTATCTCTGCAATACATATATTTGATTCCATGTATCTCTGCAATACAAATGTTTGATGCTATGTATCTCTGCAATGCATTTGTTTGATTACATGTGTCTCTGCAATACAAATGTTTGATGCCATGTGTCTCTGCAATGCATGTCAACTGTTGCTTGACTTGTAAATTGTATTTAGATGATCCTAAAAACCTGTAGTTTTGAACGAATACGATGTCAAATTGTGATCTTTCACTCATAACGGACTTATTTCATGGTGGGTCACACCATGTCAGTATTAAAAGTGCAATATGTAGTGTGGACTTCCATAAATAATATAAAATATTTCTTGCAATTCTTGTTTTTTTCTTCTGATGTTTTGCAGAAAACGGAGAAGGGGGCGTTCAGATAACAGGTACATATATAGTCTTGATTATCCGCTGAAACAATCCACTGGCCATAAAAGACAAAACAGCAGTGAACAGTATATGATTCATGAATAAATACATCTTGTAAACGTTTAGATATGTGACTGTGCAGCGTCCTCAACACAATGAATTCTCCCTGGAAGAAATGAAAGGTACAGAATTAATAAATCACCATATTGTAGCTGAGTGTTGTTATGATCCATGCTGTAAGTATATCTGTCTCTAATGATGTGCACCTGAGTATAACATACTTTGTAAGACAAATGTATTATTTTCTTTGCAGTCCTGCTGAACGTCGTAAGTATAGCGCATTCAAAAGTAATAAAGATAGAGGTGGCCGGGTATCCACATGTCCAGGTATAATATATAAGTCCATTGCTACTGATTGTAGTGTCCCCTGAACACTATTCCTGAATCATTTACTTCCCTGAGGTACTGAAGATCATTAACATCAACACCAGACCACAATCAGTCTTGAATCATCTTCCACGGAAGGGAAAAGACAATACAGAGATGAATATAAAAAGTATAAAGATCGAAAACATTTTTTTTATGTAAACGTATATAGCGACCATTGGACATAATATTGAACTTTAGAGACTAATCAGTCCGGGTTATCTGTTGAAGCATATTACTCCGCAAATGAAATAAGGAAAATTATATGAATGGATATTTGAAAATAAGTGATGTGTATGTCTTGAATCCTAATTGATTGAAACGTGAAGGTTAAACGAGAAAACAGTGCATACCTAACATTTATTCTTGTGAAATCAGTAAATAACCACACAAGATCAATGAACTATCAACAAATAATAGTGAACCACACAGGGTTAGGTTTACAATCGTGAAAAGGGCAATACAATGGGTATGTAAACAGTAAACAGTGTTGGAAGCAGGCAGAATAAAGTCAGTGTTTCTGATATACATCGCAAGTGAAGTAGAAGGAGACATTGAATCGCCCTCAAATTGTCCTTATAGAGGTACACCTGACCTTCCAGAAACGATTCGCTCCGGGTAATCACTTCCGGGTGTAACGACATATGTATACAAGCTCCCTACTCACTCTTTGTACCGGGAGGTAATGGGGGTGTCATTCGCTGGGACGGAGTTTTGACTAAGTATATATACCAAGGGAGGTTACTCTAAAATGTGAGCGCTTCATCCAACTGCTAACGCATTACCACTGTAACATACCAGGTGGCGCCAGGTTTGCGTTCAAAGAATAATGTCTTAATATACCGTCAGCACCCGCCACTACCACAATTCACAAGAAAGAGAGGATGTGTCTGTTGCCTAACAGCACTTCTAATACACCCTGCACACCCCACCCCCAACAATGCAATATGTCACCATATGAAAATCATGTGCATATCTGAGTATTGACCTAAAGGGTATTACAAACCCTTTTTGACTAAAATGTCACTAATTTATGTTGAATGAAGCAATATAGGCAATTATTAGTACTCGCCTCAAGCTAGTTGCTCTCATCGCTGCATTGAGAAGTAAGTGGAATCTGCCAAATTCACACAATACAACGCTACTCGGTGTATATCGTTTAACATTCGATAACCACTTATACATACATATACACACATATAAATCAACTTTCTCAAGTTCTTTCATTTTATGGAATGCCCTTATTATAGCATAAGTGATATCCTAGCGTCAAATAATCTGAAAAGAGTATTTTGAGAATAAGGCTTTTAACAATAAAATTGATGTTTTTTAGTAAGTTGATTAATACCACTCTAGCTTGAACAGCGATATTGCAAAAAGCTTCTGTCCATGACAGCCTGCTGCTAAAAAACAAACCTAAAAATGTATATCCTTGTGTGACTTCCACAAGTTGTCCATTCACAAACCATTTTTCCCTATTATTCAGCCGCCCACCTTTCTGACAAAAATTACAAGTCGTCTTCTATAGTGTCTGAAATTAAAGTCGAATCATGTGCAAAGAGCAAAAATAAAACTTGTATGATATCAGGATGTAACTGTACCCCAGAATACTGCTCCTGTTCAATTAAAAAATAATCATAATATTTTCAAATGTTTCATTTGATAGTAAAATAATATAAAACGTAAAATTCCAGTGTCCTTGATCGAGAAGCAGCCTGAAGCAGGTCAGTGCAGTGAGTACACTCTTTTAGTTATTGATGCGGTTAATTTGCGGCTAATTAAGGAATATAGAGTACTTTAAAGTGACATTGTTGCTTTCTTGAATACTTTGTTTGGGGCGGTCGGCTAGCCTGGTGGTTAGAGTGTTCGCTCATCACGCCGAAGACCCGGGTTCGATTACCGACATGGGTACAATATGTGAAGCCCATTTCTGGTGTTCCCCGCCGTGATAGTGCTGGAATATTGCCAAGGCTCCTTAAAACAATACTCTCTCACTCAATTGTATACGTTGTAATACAATAGACGCAATTGTTTCAGTCTATTCCAATTTTTAGCTTTATGGAACATAAACAAGGCAATCTCCAAAACACATGTTATATTCTTGACTTCTGAACAAATGAGTAATGCTGCAACCCACAAGCCTCAGATATGCACAGTGAATCCATTGAGTTTATTGTTCTGACAGCATCTTCAAGGGATGAGGATACTCTCTGCAGCCATTCAGACGGAGAGAAGCTACCAAGAGGTATGAACTGAGTTCCTCCGTATACAGCTTGTTTGTAGCAGTATGTGTATATGATACAGTCAATGTAGCAGTATGTGTATATGATACAGTCAATTTAGCAGCATGTGTATATGATACAGTCAATGTAGCAGTATGTGTATATGATACAGTCAATGTAGCAGTATGTGTATATGATACAGTCAATGTAGCAGTATGTGTATATGATACAGTCAATGTAGCAGTATGTGTATGTGCTACAGTCAATGTAGCACTATGTGTATATGATACAGGCAATGTAGCAGTATGTGTATATGATACAGTCAATGTAGCAGTATGTGTATATGATACAGTCAATGTAGCAGTATGTGTATATGATACAGTCAATGTATCAGTATGTGTATATGATACAGTCAATGAATCAGTATGTGTATATGATACAGTCAATGTAGCAGTATATGTATATGATACAGTCAATGTAGCAGTGTGTGTATATGAGGCAGTCAATGTAGCAGTATGTGTATATGATACAGTCAATGTAGCAATATGTGTATATGATACAGTCAATGTAGCAGTATGTGTATATGATACAGTCAATGTAGCAGTATGTGTATATGATACAGGCAATGTAGCAGTATGTGTATATGATATAGTCAATGTAGCAGTATGTGTATATGTTACAGTCAATGTAGCAGTATGTGTATATGATACAGTCAATGTAGCAGTATGTGTATATGATACAGTCAATGTATCAGTATGTGTATATGATACAGTCAATGAAGCAGTATGTGTATATGATACAGTCAATGTATCAGTATGTGTATATGATACAGTCAATGTAGCAGTATGTGTATATGATGCAGTCAATGTAGCAGTATGTGCATGTGCTACAGTCAATGTAGCAGTATGTGTATATGATACAGTCAATGTAGCAATATGTGTATATGATACAGTCAATGTAGCAGTATGCGTATATGATTCAGTCAATGTAGCAGTATGTGTATATGGTACAGTCAATGTAGCAGTATGTGTATGTGCTACAGTCAATGTAGCAGTATGTGTATATGATACAGTCAATGTAGCAGTATGTGTATATGATACAGTCAATGTAGCAGTATGTGTATGTGCTACAGTTAATTTAGCAGCATGTGTATATGATACAGTCAATGTAGCAGTATGTGTATATGATACAGTCAATGTAGCAGTATGTGTATATGATACAGTCAATGTAGCACTATGTGTATATGATACAGTCAATGTAGCAGTATGTGTATATGATGCCGTCAATGTAGCAGTATGTGTATGTGCTACAGTCAATGTAGCAGTATGTGTATATGATACAGTCAATGTAGCAATATGTGTATATGATACAGTCAATGTAGCAGTATGTGTATATGATTCAGTCAATGTAGCAGTATGTGTATATGATACAGTCAATGTAGCAGTATGTGTATGTGCTACAGTCAATGTAGCAGTATGTGTATATGATACAGTCAATGTAGCAGTATGTGTATATGATACAGTCAATGTAGCAGTATGTGTATATGATACAGTCAATTTAGCAGCATGTGCATATGATACAGTCAATGTAGCAGTATGCGTATATGATACAGTCAATGTAGCAGCATGGGTATATGATACAGTCAATATAGCAGTATGTGTATATGATACAGTCAATGTAGCAATATGTGTATATGATACAGTCAATGTAGCAGTATGTGTATATGATTCAGTCAATGTAGCAGTATGTGCATATGATACAGTCAATGTAGCAGTATGTGTATATGATTCAGTCAATGTAGCAGTATGTGTATATGATTCAGTCAATGTAGCAGTATGTGTATATGATTCAGTCAATGTAGCAGTATGTGTATATGATACAGTCAGTATGCAGAATCAGGCATTATATATATTAAAGTTACTTCAATCTTCAAAAGATGAAAATATATCCAAATTAGTTTGAGAAAAATAAATAAAGGAGTCTAATTCATTTCAGTCAATCTGTCTTAAATCCAGTCTCATTTTGTTTGAATCAGCTGATATACGTATTACCTGACATTTTGAAGTCAATGAACAAATTGCTGGATGGAAGACATTTACTGTAGCAAAGACACATGTGTACATACTCGTCGTACATTCAACATTATATTATTGGACAAGCGAAGACAATGTCCTTTAGGAAATGTGTTTCTCTCAAGATTCACCATTTAACAAGAATATATAATTTTACTATTTGTTTGTTTTACCTAAACAGATCTGCCATGCCAGATAGAGGATATCAAGGGCCTATTCATTGAAACTGAGAGTTTCAAAGAGGTGAAAGAGAAGTTGAATAGGTTTGGCCATGTGACAATAAGCGGTGCTCCAGGAGAAGGTAAAACATCCATGGCCCTGATGTTGGGAGCTGAATACAGGAAGCAGGGGTATGAGCTGGTACTGGTTGAGGATGTTGGGACTCTTCAGTTGTCTGATTGCCTAGGTCAGGGCAAGGACGTGTGTGTCATATTCGATGACATATTTCAGAAGGGTGGATCTATGGATGTGCATCGCCTGAGACAAGTTCTCTATGAGCTCCATGGACATCTTGAACAATGGAAAACCAAGTTGGAAACAAGATACCAGAGTCTCCAGCAAACACGAGGGGCGGAACAGAGGAGGACCGACCAACCAAACCTGTATGTTATATTCACCACAGATAGCAACAACCTTGAATGTGCAATGTCAAAACTTGAAGGCCATATATTTTTCCAAAACTCTTCAGTGGTAGACTTGACCAAATCAAAGAAAATGGAAGAGAAGAAGGCCATATGGTTGAAACACAAAAGTCACTATAACTGTGAAACTGACGTTGATGTGACTACAATTATTTCATACGAGGAAACTGTTGGTTTTCCTCTGGCATGCAAACTTTTCTCAACACACATGCCTTTTCAAGAGCTCAAGGAAACGTTTTTTGAAAGGTCTCTGTTCTATCTTCAACGTGCTTTTCATCAGGACACAAGTCAACTTGATGACCAGTCCCTTAAACTGCTGCTGAAGTCAATGTGTGATGGTGAAGTGAAAATCAGGCAACTGGAGACTGAATCTGATGCAGACCTGAAACGGGTTTTAACTCTTGTCTCATTATTCCATCCTCTTATACATGACACATGCATGTCTGCGTTATTGAATACTAGGCCAGAGCTTGTCCTTCATAACTGCAGTATAAAGTTTATTTGTGAGCATGTACCTAACCAGCAACACAACAATGCTCATGTAGAACAGAATGTCATGCATTTCTCAGATGCCTACAGTGACACCATTGCTGCCAGGCTGGCTGAAGCTGTTGTTGCTGGCACTTTCAGTAGGTACATCATGCATCCCATATGGAAAAGGAAAGACATAGAAGATAAAGTGTACCAAATGCTTAAAGATGTAGGCACTATGTCTTCTGATTCTAAGCACAGCGTTCTCCATTTTGCCTGTTTCTCTGGGAACAATGACATCACTGAAAGATTTCTCCCTCACTGTGACATCAATAGACGTGCTGTGAATGGCTGGACGCCCGCTATGTTCGCTGTAACTGGTGGACAGATGGATACTTTGAAACTTCTCGTCAAAGGTCAAGCTGATATCACATTATGTGATTCCTCGAACAACGACCTATTCCATTTGGCTTGTGAATATGGGGATATGTCAATAGTGGAGTATGTGGAAAGAGTGATGACGAAAGGTACAGCTTGGCATGTCAATTGCCGAGGAATGAATGACATGACACCAGTTATGTGTGCAGTTTTCTCTGGAAAGAATGACCTCTTGCACTATCTTGTCAAGAAGAAGACAACTGATTTAACATTACAAGATAGGAACAACAACACTGTTCTTCATCTGGCATGTATGTATGCAAATGAGTCCATTGTTAATTCGTTGTTGCCATTAACAGATAGAGATTGTCATGGGGAAAATGGCATGACACCTATAATGTGTGCACTATTGTCTGGGAGGAGGGACATATTCAACCTTCTCATGTCACACAGTGCAGACATCTCTTTGACTGATGATGACAACAACAGCCTCCTTCACTTGGCCTGCCTCCTTGATGATGTACCCCAAATTCTACTTACAGACTTTGACATTGATGTTCCAGGAAGTCATGGTTGGACACCTGTAATGAAGGCAGCAGTCAATGGAGCAGCGCATGCATTTCACCTGCTTGTGGAGGCAAAGGCTGATCTTTACCCGAAAGATGACAACAACAACAATATCCTTCATCTTGCATGCCATGGTGGACATGTCTCCATTGTGAAATATCTACTGACAAGGTTTGATATAAATGCTTGTGGAAATAATGGATGGACGCCAGTAATGTACGCAGCTGCCAATGGAGAGAAGAACGTGTTTGACCTGCTTGTGTCAAAGAGGGCTGATTTATCCCTGAAGGATGACTACAACAATTCAGTATGTAATTTAGCATGTGCAGGTGGAAATATGTCCATCGTTGAATATTTACTTCCAAAGTATGAGATCAATAGTCGGGGTGACCACGGGAGAACTGCAATTATGAATGCTGCCTGGTCAGGCCAAAGTCATATTTTCAAATTGCTTGTGTCACAGGACGTTGATCTTAAACTGACTGACGACAACAATGACACGGTGCTTCATTTTGCCTGCGAGGGAGGGGATGCAGCCATTGTGGAACATCTCCTGACCAGAGTTGACCTCAATACTCGAGGAAGGAATGCTTGGACCCCGGTCATGGTCGCAGCTCGCTTTGGAAAATTAGATCCTTTCAACTTGCTTGTTTCAAAACAAGTAGATCTCAGACCGACTGACGACCACGGTAACAACATGCTACATCTTGCATGTCAGGGAGGAAACAGGTTCATCATAGAGCATCTGCTTCCACTGTTTGACATCAACAGTCGAGGACAGGATGGAAGGACGGCTGTGATGTATGCAGCTGTCAATGGACTGAAAAGTGTATTTGACCTGCTTGTCTCAAACAAGGCTGATGTTTTACTGAAGGATGACTACAACAATTCTGTATTTCATTTAGCATGTCTAGGTGGAAACAGTTCAATTGTGGAACAACTATTTCCAAATGTTGATCTCAACAGTGTGGATGACAATGGGAGAACAGCAATCATGAAGGCAGCTTGTGCTCGAAACAAGAGTGTTTTTAATTTTCTTGTCTCAAAGAACTCCGATGTGAAAGTGATAGATGACTACAGAGACAGTGTGCTACATTTCGCATGTAATGGCGGAGACAAGACTATTGTTGAGTGCATTCTTCAAAGGCTTGACATCAATACCCGGGGAAGGAATGGTTGCACACCAGTGATGATTGCAGGTCGTTTTGGAAACAGACATCTGTTCAACTTGCTTGTTTCAAAGGAAGCGGATCTCACTATGACTGACGACCACGGTAACAACATCCTCCACCTTGCATGTCAGGGAGGAAACAGGTTCATCATAGAGCATATGCTTCGACTGTGTGACATCAACAGTTGCGGACAGGATGGCAAGACGGCTGTGATGTATGCAGCTGTCAATGGACGAAGGAGGGCGTTTGACCTGCTTGTCTCAAATGGGGCTGATATTTCCCTGAAGGATGACTACAAAAATACTGTATTTAATTTAGCATGTATAGGTGGAAATATGTCCATTATGGAATGTTTACTTCCAGAGTATGAGATCAACAGTCGGGCTCACATCGAGAGAACAGCAATAATGGAGGTAGCTTTGGCAGGCAAAATACATGTCTTTGACTTTCTCGTGTCAAAGGACGCTGACCTGAAACTGATAGATGCCTACACGGATACAGTTCTACATTGTGCATGTCAAGGAGGGAACACAGCCATTGTAGAATATCTTCGGGAGATATTGGACATTAATGAGAAGGGACAGAATGGCTTGACACCAGTAATGCATGCAGCTAGGGCTGGTCAGAAGAATGTATTCAATCTGCTTGTATCACAACAAGATGAGTTGAATCTGCTTGATCACACCAGGAACAATTTACTGCATCTTGCTTGTCAGGGGGGAAACCATTTCATCATAAAGTACCTCTTGCAAAAGTTTGACGTTAATGGTCCTGGACAAGACGGGTGGACACCAATAATGATGGCAGCTCTCAGTGGAAAGATGGATGCTTATGATCTGCTTGCATCAAATGGGAGCATTCCATCCCTGACTACTCCGCAGAATGATAATGTTCTTCATGCAGCAAGTCAAGGTGGTAACAAGGCCATAGTAAGGAAGGTCATTGACATCTTTGACATCAACACCAGGGGAAGGAATGGTTCCACACCTCTGATGAGGGCTGTTATTGGAGGCCACATTAGTGTGCTGAAGTTCCTGATGTCTCGTTCAGCTGACGATACTCTGGTGGACAATGATGGGCTCACCCTTCTACATCTTGCTTGTACATATGGTCACCTTGATGTTGTGAAACACATCTCAGACAGGTTTGATATAAACACTAAAGACAAGGCTGGTTTAACATGCATCATGACATCGGTACTGTATGGTAAAGTTGCAGTATTTGAATACCTGCAAAGTAGAGACGCAGATTTGTTACTAGTTGACAATGAAGGCGATGACGCCTTAAATCTTGCCCTTAAAGTAGACTGCAAGCAAATCATAGAAAAGCTGTCATCAGGTAGAGAGTCAGAGAGGAACGTCACACCATGGAGTGCCCTTATGAAGGCAGACATAAGGTCAGATGTGTATCATCTGAATAAAAACCGGCAAGTTTCCCTTAGGCTCTAATGAGGCCACTGTAGAGGATGTTATTGACAACTTTGACATCAACACTAGTGGAAGGAATGGCGAGACTCCTCTGACGAGAGCAGTCCGCTGAGGTCACATTGCCGTGTACAGATACTTGGTGTTCTGCAGTGCTGACCGTACTCTCCTCGACGATGACTGACATAATATTCTACATCTTGCTCGTCATCACGGACAACTTGTAATATTAAAATATGCCATTGATTATTTCGATATCAACTGAAAGGACAATATTGGTGTGACACCTGGAATGACGGCAGCTCTACACCAGCAAGCTGCAGTACTCAAATACAATAAAGGCACATATCTGACTTTAGTTGACAACACGGGAGACGATGCCTTTACTCTCGTGCTTTAGTTTGGAAGCAGACAAATACATAAAAAAGCAACTAGAACGTAAACCAGACAAGACAGTGACTCCATGGAATGAACTTATGACAAATTTGGTAAGAATGGAAAAGTCACACCTTGTGTCCACAGAGACACACTCTACACTGAAAACTATAACAAGGTTTATATTGTACATTAAATGCTGTATTAGTATTGACTGAAAAACTTATCTATACATACGTTCAACTGGTTACCGTCCATAAGCAAAATGGAAGGTTGATTGGTTGGTTTGTTGTTTAACGCCGCACTTAGCAATATTCCAGCTATATGACGGCAGTCTGTAAATAATCGAGTATGGACCAGACAATCCAGTGATTGACATTATGAGCATCAATCCACGCAATTGGGATTGATGACATGCATCAACCAAGTCAGCGAGCCTGGCCACCCGATCCCATTACTCGCCTTTTACAAATGGCATAGTCGCCTTTTACGGCAAGCATGGGCTGATGAAGACCTATTCTAACCAGGATCTGCACGGTTACAATGTGGAAGTACTGGCCTGGGCTATTGCAGCCAATAGTTATTTTATATCTCCCTACAGAGATATAGTTCTTCACAATTTCAATTATTTTTAGATTTGGCAGCCAAATGATGTAATAATCAGATTGGAAATATGTGTGATTGCCAAACAGTATTTGCGTCTACTGTTGTCTTTAGTATTACCATCTAAAAACACATACATTCAAGAGGAGATTTCATATGGATGATGCTTTGTCGTTTCTATTTATGTAGAAAGATGTGATATTCTTGTGGCAATTTGACCAACTTCGAACACATATATTACTACTACAAGAGATTGTGAAGAGACCCTACATGGTTAGAAATGTAGAATCATGCTATTTACCTTAAATGTTTGACGGGTGTTGAAGCTCCTGTTGTTAAAACAATTGGGCAGTAATGTTGTTCTATTTTGTATTAAAATCATAGCGCACTTCTGCTTTCGGGAGATATTGGACATTAATGAGAAGGGACAGAATGGCTTGACACCAGTAATGCATGCAGCTAGGGCTGGTCAGAAGAATGTATTCAATCTGCTTGTATCACAACAAGATGAGTTGAATCTGCTTGATCACACCAGGAACAATTTACTGCATCTTGCTTGTCAGGGGGGAAACCATTTCATCATAAAGTACCTCTTGCAAAAGTTTGACGTTAATGGTCCTGGACAAGACGGGTGGACACCAATAATGATGGCAGCTCTCAGTGGAAAGATGGATGCTTATGATCTGCTTGCATCAAATGGGAGCATTCCATCCCTGACTACTCCGCAGAATGATAATGTTCTTCATGCAGCAAGTCAAGGTGGTAACAAGGCCATAGTAAGGAAGGTCATTGACATCTTTGACATCAACACCAGGGGCAGGAATGGTTCCACACCTCTGATGAGGGCTGTTATTGGAGGCCACATTAGTGTGCTGAAGTTCCTGATGTCTCGTTCAGCTGACGATACTCTGGTGGACAATGATGGGCTCACCCTTCTACATCTTGCTTGTACATATGGTCACCTTGATGTTGTGAAACACATCTCAGACAGGTTTGATATAAACACTAAAGACAAGGCTGGTTTAACATGCATCATGACATCGGTACTGTATGGTAAAGTTGCAGTATTTGAATACCTGCAAAGTAGAGACGCAGATTTGTTACTAGTTGACAATGAAGGCGATGACGCCTTAAATCTTGCCCTTAAAGTAGACTGCAAGCAAATCATAGAAAAGCTGTCATCAGGTAGAGAGTCAGAGAGGAACGTCACACCATGGAGTGCCCTTATGAAGGCAGACATAAGGTCAGATGTGTATCATCTGAATAAAAACCGGCAAGTTTCCCTTAGGCTCTAATGAGGCCACTGTAGAGGATGTTATTGACAACTTTGACATCAACACTAGTGGAAGGAATGGCGAGACTCCTCTGACGAGAGCAGTCCGCTGAGGTCACATTGCCGTGTACAGATACTTGGTGTTCTGCAGTGCTGACCGTACTCTCCTCGACGATGACTGACATAATATTCTACATCTTGCTCGTCATCACGGACAACTTGTAATATTAAAATATGCCATTGATTATTTCGATATCAACTGAAAGGACAATATTGGTGTGACACCTGGAATGACGGCAGCTCTACACCAGCAAGCTGCAGTACTCAAATACAATAAAGGCACATATCTGACTTTAGTTGACAACACGGGAGACGATGCCTTTACTCTCGTGCTTTAGTTTGGAAGCAGACAAATACATAAAAAAGCAACTAGAACGTAAACCAGACAAGACAGTGACTCCATGGAATGAACTTATGACAAATTTGGTAAGAATGGAAAAGTCACACCTTGTGTCCACAGAGACACACTCTACACTGAAAACTATAACAAGGTTTATATTGTACATTAAATGCTGTATTAGTATTGACTGAAAAACTTATCTATACATACGTTCAACTGGTTACCGTCCATAAGCAAAATGGAAGGTTGATTGGTTGGTTTGTTGTTTAACGCCGCACTTAGCAATATTCCAGCTATATGACGGCAGTCTGTAAATAATCGAGTATGGACCAGACAATCCAGTGATTGACATTATGAGCATCAATCCACGCAATTGGGATTGATGACATGCATCAACCAAGTCAGCGAGCCTGGCCACCCGATCCCATTACTCGCCTTTTACAAATGGCATAGTCGCCTTTTACGGCAAGCATGGGCTGATGAAGACCTATTCTAACCAGGATCTGCACGGTTACAATGTGGAAGTACTGGCCTGGGCTATTGCAGCCAATAGTTATTTTATATCTCCCTACAGAGATATAGTTCTTCACAATTTCAATTATTTTTAGATTTGGCAGCCAAATGATGTAATAATCAGATTGGAAATATGTGTGATTGCCAAACAGTATTTGCGTCTACTGTTGTCTTTAGTATTACCATCTAAAAACACATACATTCAAGAGGAGATTTCATATGGATGATGCTTTGTCGTTTCTATTTATGTAGAAAGATGTGATATTCTTGTGGCAATTTGACCAACTTCGAACACATATATTACTACTACAAGAGATTGTGAAGAGACCCTACATGGTTAGAAATGTAGAATCATGCTATTTACCTTAAATGTTTGACGGGTGTTGAAGCTCCTGTTGTTAAAACAATTGGGCAGTAATGTTGTTCTATTTTGTATTAAAATCATAGCGCACTTCTGCTTTCGGGAGATATTGGACATTAATGAGAAGGGACAGAATGGCTTGACACCAGTAATGCATGCAGCTAGGGCTGGTCAGAAGAATGTATTCAATCTGCTTGTATCACAACAAGATGAGTTGAATCTGCTTGATCACACCAGGAACAATTTACTGCATCTTGCTTGTCAGGGGGGAAACCATTTCATCATAAAGTACCTCTTGCAAAAGTTTGACGTTAATGGTCCTGGACAAGACGGGTGGACACCAATAATGATGGCAGCTCTCAGTGGAAAGATGGATGCTTATGATCTGCTTGCATCAAATGGGAGCATTCCATCCCTGACTACTCCGCAGAATGATAATGTTCTTCATGCAGCAAGTCAAGGTGGTAACAAGGCCATAGTAAGGAAGGTCATTGACATCTTTGACATCAACACCAGGGGAAGGAATGGTTCCACACCTCTGATGAGGGCTGTTATTGGAGGCCACATTAGTGTGCTGAAGTTCCTGATGTCTCGTTCAGCTGACGATACTCTGGTGGACAATGATGGGCTCACCCTTCTACATCTTGCTTGTACATATGGTCACCTTGATGTTGTGAAACACATCTCAGACAGGTTTGATATAAACACTAAAGACAAGGCTGGTTTAACATGCATCATGACATCGGTACTGTATGGTAAAGTTGCAGTATTTGAATACCTGCAAAGTAGAGACGCAGATTTGTTACTAGTTGACAATGAAGGCGATGACGCCTTAAATCTTGCCCTTAAAGTAGACTGCAAGCAAATCATAGAAAAGCTGTCATCAGGTAGAGAGTCAGAGAGGAACGTCACACCATGGAGTGCCCTTATGAAGGCAGACATAAGGTCAGATGTGTATCATCTGAATAAAAACCGGCAAGTTTCCCTTAGGCTCTAATGAGGCCACTGTAGAGGATGTTATTGACAACTTTGACATCAACACTAGTGGAAGGAATGGCGAGACTCCTCTGACGAGAGCAGTCCGCTGAGGTCACATTGCCGTGTACAGATACTTGGTGTTCTGCAGTGCTGACCGTACTCTCCTCGACGATGACTGACATAATATTCTACATCTTGCTCGTCATCACGGACAACTTGTAATATTAAAATATGCCATTGATTATTTCGATATCAACTGAAAGGACAATATTGGTGTGACACCTGGAATGACGGCAGCTCTACACCAGCAAGCTGCAGTACTCAAATACAATAAAGGCACATATCTGACTTTAGTTGACAACACGGGAGACGATGCCTTTACTCTCGTGCTTTAGTTTGGAAGCAGACAAATACATAAAAAAGCAACTAGAACGTAAACCAGACAAGACAGTGACTCCATGGAATGAACTTATGACAAATTTGGTAAGAATGGAAAAGTCACACCTTGTGTCCACAGAGACACACTCTACACTGAAAACTATAACAAGGTTTATATTGTACATTAAATGCTGTATTAGTATTGACTGAAAAACTTATCTATACATACGTTCAACTGGTTACCGTCCATAAGCAAAATGGAAGGTTGATTGGTTGGTTTGTTGTTTAACGCCGCACTTAGCAATATTCCAGCTATATGACGGCAGTCTGTAAATAATCGAGTATGGACCAGACAATCCAGTGATTGACATTATGAGCATCAATCCACGCAATTGGGATTGATGACATGCATCAACCAAGTCAGCGAGCCTGGCCACCCGATCCCATTACTCGCCTTTTACAAATGGCATAGTCGCCTTTTACGGCAAGCATGGGCTGATGAAGACCTATTCTAACCAGGATCTGCACGGTTACAATGTGGAAGTACTGGCCTGGGCTATTGCAGCCAATAGTTATTTTATATCTCCCTACAGAGATATAGTTCTTCACAATTTCAATTATTTTTAGATTTGGCAGCCAAATGATGTAATAATCAGATTGGAAATATGTGTGATTGCCAAACAGTATTTGCGTCTACTGTTGTCTTTAGTATTACCATCTAAAAACACATACATTCAAGAGGAGATTTCATATGGATGATGCTTTGTCGTTTCTATTTATGTAGAAAGATGTGATATTCTTGTGGCAATTTGACCAACTTCGAACACATATATTACTACTACAAGAGATTGTGAAGAGACCCTACATGGTTAGAAATGTAGAATCATGCTATTTACCTTAAATGTTTGACGGGTGTTGAAGCTCCTGTTGTTAAAACAATTGGGCAGTAATGTTGTTCTATTTTGTATTAAAATCATAGCGCACTTCTGCTTTAGGCGATTATTTGTTTCTGCAGAACCGATGTTTCTGTAAACAGCAGCACCTCTGGAAAGCCGCAATTACAAAGGTTGTAGACTTGCAGTGATGTTATACAACCGACACCAGACAGAAATTACTTTTAAAACAACATTGACAAGGATGTGCTTCTTCAAGATAAACGATCACTGATTACATGTAGTTTATTGCTTAATATTTATCAATGATTATTTCATACAGTAGATCCTTGTTGTGGCTACAATAACCTCACGTACTTTAAAATACATTTCCCCAAACCATGTCAATTTTAGTGATATCTAACAAACATTTGCTGCTTTCTAAAATTGACCTTTCGACGGTTGGTGAAACACACATGAAAACAGAAGGAGGCAACGATGAATCAATGTTGTTCACTAGACAATATATGTATGCAAGTTGACAAATATTCTACAATATCCACACCACGTGATCACCCCTCCTCGAATATATCATTAGCTTTGACTTGATTGCTGTATCATCAAATGAAATAACTATTGTGCTTTTGCATATGCATATTTCCATGTAGCATTAGAGAATTGTAATATTCATACACAATATGGCATATAGAAGCCGGACATATATGCAATTTTACATTATGTGTTTCTATATAACAAGGTAAACACATAGTTGCACAGGAAGCATGGCGTGTTTTAAAGCCCTGATTCTGCAAATGTCGTATTTCTATGAAGGAGAACCTGTGAATAGTGACAAAATAGGAAAAAATGTTAACTCATCATTACATACTTCATTTTCATTGTACACGTACGGCCATCTTCTTGTGGCTATCATGAGCATGAAGTATTATCCACGTATTATTCCACCATGACCCGTCACAGAACACATGCAAAGGCAAGTCAATTATTCACCAGAACAAAATATTGATGCGGCACATTTGGATATGTCCTCCACATGTCCAGCCTAACATCTTTTAACAGCTTTACATGGTGCAGCAACTTTTGAGCAAGAGTGTTATAACGTTCTTTGGTAGAAAAAAAAACTGAAAAAGTGAAATGTGGATACCAAAGACTGGTACTGCTGGACTATTTCTCGACATAAAGGGAAGGTTGACTATTGGAAAGTTGAAAACATCCCTCTTGTCATACAGTCTTGTGGAGAGTGTTGTTTGTCTTTCACTCTGAATCTTTATGCATAGGTCTGAATATGAAACAGATGAGGCGGTCTCACTTATTTCTCGTTCAGGTGTATAAACCAGTGGGAGGGAATTGTAATTCCGATTAGAAATTCCATTTCGTATTGTTATATGGCACTGTGTACTTTATGTTTAGTAATGATTATATATGTGTTTTGTTGTTTCTGCTGACATTCAGGGAACGCTCCTTGTATGGTTTGGGGCAGTGATTGGTCGTCAGGTATGTGGTACTATTTAACCTTAGCTGTCGTCAGGAAGTTATTATATTTATATGTAGATACCCGTGTGGTGTGTAAACTTCCGGCATACCGTGGACTGGTATTGACTTGTCTGTGGTCTCCTGAAAGTGAGTTGGACTATATGTATGAAGACAGTTGTGTGTTTGCGTGTCTGATACCCATTTGGTCTCTCACACAATTGGTCTCTCGCACATTTGGTTTCGGGCTTGTTCATCATTTTAGACCAGTTTTCATGTGGGGATCGCTCATCATCCCTGATTCCCTGCCTAGCCCATCTCTGAAACTTTTGCTTTCACCACTTTATTTTTGTATTTGACACTGACCACTTCCTTCATATTATATAGCATGGATGGCATTTGCTTTAATTTTTGTCAAATTGACCTGGGCCTCTGAAGATAGGTATTTTACTGTATCTATTGTCACCACGTTTCAGTAGATCAATATACTTGACTAATATTCACGTCTGTGGGGCGGCCACGTGGCCCTGTGCACAGTGTTTTCGGTAGGGCAGTTTTCCAAAAATATCTCATAGGCTGGTTTGTTTGTTTGATTGTTTTTTATCGACACACAGAGCAATAATCCATCTATGTGACGTCGGTCTGTTATTCATCTAGTCTGGACCCGACAATCCAAACATCGTGATCATAAGTATGGTTTGGGTTCTTCAGGATGTGTTCGGAAATAGCGGATGCCAGGTCGAGTTTGTTAACAGAGGTCGGATGTTCTTTGAGTCTGGGGTTTCTCCATTGTACTGGTGACCACAGTCACAGGGGATTGTAGGGATTCAAGGACAGAAGAGATCGCCATATGACATGATTTTCTGTCTGTAGGGATTCAAGGACATAATAGATTGCCGTATCATATGGTTTTCTGTCTGTAGGGATTCAAGGACGGAAGTGATCTCCGTATCACATGCCTGTCTGACTGCAGAGATTCAAGGACAGACGAGATCCTCATATAACATGGTTCCTGTCTGTAGGGATTCAATGACAGCAGATATCCCCGTATCACATGTTTTTTGTGTCTGTGAGGATTCAAGGACAGAAGAGATCCTGTTATCACAGGAGTTTCTGTTTTCAGGGATTAAAGGAGAGCAGATATCCCCTTATCACTGGAAGTTATGTCTGTAGGGATTCAAGGACAGAAGAGATTGCCGTATCACATGTTTTCTGTCTGTAGGGATTCAAGGCCAGAAGAGATAATCTTATAAGATGGTTTTCTGTCTGTGGGCATTCAAGGACAGAGAAGATCGCCGTTTCATATACTTGCTGATGGCTACCATGTTTTAACGCCGTTCGATCTGCCTGGTTGTCGGATATGACTGTACTATTGGCACCATAATACAGCATCAAGTCACATACTTTATCTTTGCATTGTCATTAAGGACGTCATCATCTGGTCACATAGAAAAAGAGAATATCCCTTGCTGAGATTACAGACCATTATATGGGTTTTGGACAATCTTAGTTGCAAGCAAGATATACCAAGTAGCCTTTTATTTAGTTACAAAGAATGGATGGTTAGGAACTTAGTCTAAACAAGGAAAAGAGAAGCAAAGAATGACTCAGAAGGTTACGCGGAAATTTTCAATGTCGAAGCTGTCCACTAATCAGATATTCGTTGTGTCATTGTAACCGATCTACACACGTTTGTCGATTCTAGATTGATCAAGGAGAATTGCTAAAAATAAAACTCCAATTCCCATTCCCGTCCGGATATACAAAGGCCACCGTTTCTGTTTGACGGTTTCTTTGTTTGCACCTACACTGCACCATTGTTCAGCGTCACTGCTTGGGGTAAAGTGAGACGTGAACACAGAGACTGTGCTGTGGGATCGGCTACAGTAGAGTGTACAGCGCAAAGCTGTGGGATCGGCTACAGTAGAGTGTACATCGCAAAGCTGTGGGATCGGCTACAGTAGAGTGTACAGCGCAAAGCTATTTGCTATCTGATAATCGGAAAGATTGAGATCTGTTGCATGATCCCGATCACTCTGCGATTTATATATATTTGGTCTAGGTCTTTTTGCGTGCTAACTCACAGCAGAGCAACCAAAATGCAAGGTAATAAATATGATGTGTGTGAAAGTGTGATTGATATATATATATGTTGTATCGATTTTCCATCATGAAGACTGACAAGGACACTCTATCACTCTAACGGATATGCTCAGTCAGCACAAATAC